CTCTACAGTGCGTGGCTACATTTTGAATGGGAGTCGGCGGCGCTCCGGTTCTGCTCGTTTTCCTGTACACCTGGTTCTTCGTGCATACAACTGCATTTCCCCGACCCAAAACAGAGCAGCGTGTAGTTCCTCTGGAATTTCAAATCCTGAATTTTTTGCTTTAGTCTGCACCGCATCACTTTGGGAAACCTCCACGAACAAAACACAGTGGACCACGGGTGGTTGCCCGCCACATGCCTGAACAAAATTAACACCTCAGTTAATTTACTTTGCATTAAAAGGGACCTTGTTAATGATACCCCAACGTAGGGCTGGGCCATACATCGAATTTAGTCAATTCAGACACTCGGCTTTCAACCGCTGGCTGTCTGGCTGGTGCCCTCGAAGTGGTGTTGTTCATGTTGACAATTGGAGTGCCTTTTGGGGAAAGCCCGGTCTCATCCGCTCGGATGATATCCACCCAACGTTGGCGGGTACATCCCTTTTGGCTAAGAATTTGGCCCTGGCTCGAAATTTTTCTGCCCGACTCAAATGACGGTGCAGAACTGAGGCCACAACCTCTTAGCCCCCATCAGTTCAGTTACTAGCCTCAGAAGCTAGTCAGATTGAAACTGTGTGTGCGTGTGTGTGTGTGCCTGTGTGTGCTCAGTTACTAGCCTCAGAATCTAAAGCGAGAACTACAGGTCGCGGCGGTGGCGTTGCGATTATATCACACACCAACTTACTTCTTAGTCCCAAAACCAACAATGCTTTTCACTCGTTTGAAAACTTAACACTTTCAATCACCTGTCCTGGGTGGAGAAAACAAAAAGCGGTGCTATTTATAGTTTTATACCGACCTCCTGGTCCTTACAGCGAGTTCCTAACAGAACTCTCTGACTTCATTTTAAACCCAGTTTTGGAATGGGAAAACATAGTCATAACTGGAGACTTCGATATACATGTGGACGACAGCACTGACAGCTTAAACAAAGCTTTCAGCGCCGTACTAGATGGTGTTGGTTTTACTCAGAATGTTGAGGAACCTACTCACATTCATAACCACACCTTGGACCTTGTCCTGACCTACGGCTGTGATGTCTCCAATGTTGACATCAAGCGTCAAAGCTTGTTGCTGTCTGACCATTTCTTGATCACGTTTGATCTCGATTTGGAGGACTTTCCTGCCCCGCAAGATAAAACCATAAATGATAAATCTACCACAAGGTTTAAAGAACTAATACAGCCTATGTTGAATACTGCTGCAGGTGAACCTGTTCACAGCTGCTGCAGTCCCTCAGTCATTGACCAAACGGTGGACAACACTATGGAGTCTTTAAAATCTGCATTAAATGCAGCAGCTCCTTTAAAACAGAAAACTATTATCATCGTCGCCCTGGTACGATGTTCAACTCCACACTTTAAAACAGGACGTCAGAAAATTGGAGAGGCTATATCGCCACTCCCACTCGGAGCCTGTCTCCAAAACTACAAGAATGCCCTTCGCAGGGCTCGAACTCAATACTATTCAACTTTAATAGAAGCGAATAAAAATAGCAGTAGATTTCTGTTTAGCACCGTCGCTAAACTCACAAACTGCCATAGCGCAATCGAGCCTAAAATTCCAAACTCACTGAGCAGTGTCGACTTTCTCCACTTCTTTAATAATAAAATTACATCCATCCGTGACAAACTGGAGGAGGTTACTCCTGCTCTTGGTAGTGGACAGGCTGAAACGGCATACTTGACTTCCCACTTAGACTCTTCAGTGGGCCTCGATAGATTCATGGCTGTGAGCCAAGCAGAGGTGATCTCTGTGGTCACATCCTCAAAAGCCTCAACTTGCATGTTAGACGCAATCCCGACTTGGCTCTTCAAAGACATACTTCCTTTGATAATTGAGCCTATCGTAAATATAATAAAAGCATCCATACAATGTGGCTATGTCCCACAAGCTTTTAAAACCGCGGTAATCAAACCCCTTCTGAAGAAAACAAACCTGGACCCAGAAATACTTACAAACTACAGACCGATCTCGAACCTCACTTTCATATCTAAAATCCTGGAAAAACTTATAGCTGAGCAGCTTTGCTGCCACCTACAGGAAAATAATATATTTGAAGTCTTTCAATCAGGATTCAGAGCTCATCATAGCACTGAAACGGCACTAGTCAAAGTCACAAATGACTTACTACTAGCTGCTGATAATGGACAAGTGTCAGTGCTGGTCCTACTGGACCTTAGTGCTGCATTTGACACAATAGACCACAGCATTCTACTGCAGAGGCTAGAATGTGATATAGGTCTTAGAGGAACAGCCCTTGGCTGGTTTAAATCCTATTTATCAGATCGGTATCAATTCGTCAATGTAAATCAGAACTCGTCGCCTTATTCTGGAGTAGAATTCGGTGTGCCGCAGGGTTCGGTACTCGGACCGATTCTTTTCACTCTCTACATGCTGCCGTTAGGAAACATTATTAAAAAGCATTTAATTAATTTCCACTGCTATGCAGATGACACACAGCTTTATCTGTCGATGAAGCCAAATCAGACAGATCAGCTAGAAAAGCTGCATAAAGGACCTTAAAACGTGGATGACTCTTAACTTCCTACTTCTCAACCCGGAGAAGACAGAAGTGATCCTACTCGGTCCGAAGCGCCTGCGTGACTCCCTTACTAACCAGATAATCACTCTCGATAATGTCACACAGTAAAACTGTGAGGAATCTTGGAGTAATTTCTTCTAACTTCCACTTACGGAACATCGCTAAAATTAGGAATTTCCTTCCTAAGAGGAAGGAAGTGACGCGGAAAAACGTATTCACGCTTTTGTCACCTCAAGACTTTACTACTGTAACGCTTTATTGGCAGCATGCCCTAAAACCTCTTTGAAGAGCTTCCAGCTTAACAGGTACCAAAAGGAGGGAGCACATAACTCCGGTGTTAAAATCACTCCACTGGCTCCCTGTGGAGTACAGAATAAAGTTTAAAATCCTTCTCTTAACATATAAAGCCATAAATGGCTTGGCTCCTTCCTTTCTCCAAGACACGTTAGTGTCGTATCAACCAAGTCGAGCGTTGCGCTCACAAAACGCCAGACGTCTGGTGGTTCCTATGGTCTCAAAAATCACTGTTGGCGGCAGAGCATTTAGCTACCAAGCTCCTTTACTGTGGAATCAGCTTCCCATTTATGTTAAGGAAGCAGATACAGTCTCCACATTCAAGGCCAGGCTTAAAGCACTCTACTTTAATTTAGCATATAATTAGGTAATACGTATATAATATATGGTGTATATATTATATATATATATGCTGTATTATGTTATATATTATGTTATATATTATACAATATATGTATTATGTTGTGTATTGTGTTATGTTGTATATTATGTTATATAGTATGCTGTATGTTATGTTATGTATTGTATATAATATATATAATATGTATGGTACATGTGATATATATGATATATACTTAGGTTTGCCTGGATCGGTTTGCACACCTGGAGCAATATAAAACTGACTGATAATTACAAATAGAAAGTTACTTGTACAGATTAAGCATGACTAAAGTGCACAGGTATAAAAATATACAGACTCTTAACACTAGCAAACCCATGGAGGTGCCATTTGGCACTTCTACCTAAAAAGCCCACCACGGTGCCAAATGACTCCAAGGATTTTAGCTAACAAACTAAATCACCTGTGAACGGCCAACTTTGTTATGTAAATAAGGCCATTATCACAGGCTGAGCTGAAGTTGCTCAACCACTTTACTTTGTCTTCTTCGGGAGAGGGAGGATCTGATTAGTTAAAATGAGTTAAATCTAGTGTCATGCTGACTTTATTATTTTCATTATTATTTTTTAACTAAAGTGAATTGAAAGAAAACAAACGAGCAACATCATTCAATGTATGCATTTACATTGTTTACAAAATAAATATGATATAAAAAGATAAAGTAATGTATGAAATTAGTTTGACAGATTTTGGTTTTGAACAGTTTTGTATGTGATGACCAAAGCGATGAAATGAGGACTACTGGTTTTACAGAAACTATTCAGTCGTGAAAAGTATGTTTCATTCTGATTGACAGGACAGAAGCAAATGATAATGTTATAAAACAGCAGAGAACTGTATGAAAGTAACTGATACATGTCCAAAAGCATTTGTAAAGTGTTCAAAGGAGAAACTGCCGCGATGATGTCACACACGACTCAATGTTGTGGAGGTTCTACCGTAATGATTTTTTGTATTTTTGTTTTTCTACGTAAATACTGTATGTGTACTATTTTTGTTGCAGAATGCTGTAGAATTGCAAAGAGCATAAGCAGTAAATATGTGAACATACAGTACATACATATGTATCACTAAATACAGTCACAATGAAAACATGACTAAATCATTTGACTGTTGTTCATAAACACTGATGTCAGGACTTATTCTTTTGAGACACAGTTTCATTGACATGAAGACTTTCTTTTGAGGAATTAAGTTCATTTTGAGAAAGTGACTTTTTAGCAGGTTATCCATGAGGTTTTGCAGTTTGCACTCATTGTTCTGAGAAATGCACTAACTGTTGTTAAAATGTGAAGAATAATGTGAAAAATGCACCAAAGACACTGAGAAAAACTGATTACAAAATATATACAGCGCATTCTCAGGGTACACAGCACATGTGTATCTGTGGTCTCACAGACTACTGTAGCACTCTCTTGCAGCTCTCCCTCCCCCGCACGAATAAACAAAGCCCACCCCAGCCCCCTGCTGTTATAAGTCATTACCTACATTTGCAAATCAATACATGCAAATGTTAGCAGCCAACCTAGCAAGTTAGCTCCTTCTTCTCAAAACAGGGGCCAATTTCGCTTGGGTTTTCTAGTGTTAAGCAATTTTTATTTTCTTTCAAACTGCAAAAAAAATAGAAAAAAGTGCATTTAACAGATACACAGAACACAAGACAACTGTTTCAAAATATCAACTGCAACGTCTCTAGTGCAACTTCCGCCGTAGAATATAGTCTACTCGGTTAACCAGTCACCATACCGGTCCGGAGGTCGGCGCTGGCGTCTGGAGTGCGGTTCCACAGGGCACGAGGGGTGTGACCCTCCCGTCGCACCCCCACCATGGTTAAGTGTGACATGGGAAGGAGAGGATGGAAGGAATCCAACCACATCGGATGCAGACGGAAGTGGCAGCTGGGAATGGCTAGCGCCGTCACTGAACACCGGAGAGAAGAGGCTCAGCAAACCGAGGTCTTGGTCAGCGGCTTCTTGATCCGCAGCACCCTGGTCAGCGACGCCTTGGTCCACAGCACCCCGGGCAGTGGCGCCTTGGTCAGCGGCGTCGTCCCCGTCAGCGGCGGCGTCCCCGTCAGCGGCGGTGTCCACGTCAGCGTCCCAGTCAGCGATGTCCTCTTCCACAGCTGGAGGCTGGACCTCGGCAGGTGTCCAGTGTTGGGCGTGGTTCTGGACCCAGGCGCTGTCCAGTGGATCACGGCTGCGGTAGGGTGGCGGCGTCCCAGTCAGCGGCGGCGTCCCAGTCAGCGACGTCCTCGTCCACAGCTGGAGGCTGGACCTCGGCAGGTGTCCAGCGTTGGGCGTGGTTCTGGACCCAGGCGCTGTCCAGTGGATCACGGCTGCGGTAGGGCTTGAGTTGGTCATGAGGGACAACTTTCACTCTAGATCTGGGGCTCTTTTGAATCCTGTAGACCAGATCGTCCAACTGTCCAAGAACGAAAAAGGGTCCTTCGTAAGCGGGAAGAAACGTTCTGACTTTGTTTTTGAAGTGACGCGTTCCTTTGATGAGATACCATACAGCATCTCCAACTTTGTACTGTGTGTGGCAAGCATTTTTGTCGTACTGTTTTTTCGCACGCGTGACTGACTCTCCCAGAGCTTCTCGAGTGATGTGGTGAGCTAGCTACAGGGTCCGTGTACGTCGCGGCCATTCTATTTTTGATTAGGAAAGAAAATACAAAAAACGAATATTGGCCGTTTCCCGTTTTCCGTTTTCAAAATAAAATGTAGAAAACGAGAATTTAATCCGTTTTTCGATTTTGTGTTTTAAAATTAAAAAACGGATAACGAAAAACAGGTCATAATCCGTTTTTCCATTACACATTTACACAAGAAACACCAACATCGAAAAACCACGGCAAAAATTTGATTTTCCATTCTTGATCTTATTTTGAAGCTGACCCGGAATCTGTTAACCATGCCTACCACTATGCCAATTAAAGATTACAAGATATAGAATAATATTAATGTATATCAGCGGACACCATTAGCCTTTTTAGATGGCTAACCGTTCACTAGCATAAACACAGTAGGTTTTGCTATTTAAATTTATAAACTTACCTGGAAAATGGTGCCAATCTTATCCACTGTCATGTCGACATCTTTTAAAGTAACCCGTTTGCTGTCTCGATACAAAACAAAAGTTTTCTCCAACTCTGGTATCTCCATTATCATTCAAAAAACTGGAAAACTCTGACTGTGCGGGAAAGCCTCAACAGCTTCCGGGTCAGCTTCAAAATAAGATCAAGAATGGAAAATCAAATTTTTGCCGTGGTTTTTCGATGTTGGTGTTTCTTGTGTAAATGTGTAATGGAAAAACGGATTATGACCTGTTTTTCGTTATCCGTTTTTTAATTTTAAAACACAAAATCGAAAAACGGATTAAATTCTCGTTTTCTACATTTTATTTTGAAAACGGAAAACGGGAAACGGCCAATATTCGTTTTTTGTATTTTCTTTCCTAATCAAAAATAGAATGGCCGCGACGTACACGGACCCTACAGCCGCCCACGCTTTTGCAGTACATACTCTGGGGTTGAAAGTGCACGGTCAGAGTCAGGGGGCAAGCCAGCTACAAGATCCACGGGTTCATTGATCTCGCGTCCAAACATCATAACGTTTGGTGTGAATCCTGTCAAACTGTGCTTGGTTGAGCTGTAGGGCATGACTGCGTATGGGATAATTAAGTCCCATTCCCAGTGGCAACGTTCCGCAGTAGAGGCCAGGATCTTCTGGAGTGTGGCATTGAAACGTTCAACTTGGCCGTCTGACTGCGGTCTGAAGGGTGTAGTGTGGGTTTTCTCAATGCCAAACATAAGGCACATTTCCTGAAACACTTCTGACTCAAAGTTGCGTCCTTGATCGCTGTGCAGAGAGTGAGGCATTCCATAGCGACACACCCATTCAGTTGCCACAACTTCGGCCACTGTGACAGCCTTTTCGTCAGGGATTGGAAATGCTTCAGTCCATTTTGTGAAATATTCTTGTATCACGAGTATGTAGCGGTTTTTGCGATCGGTTTCATTGAGTGGGTCCATAATGCCTAGTGCAATGCGCTCCATGGGGGCACCAACTCTGACAGTTCCCATGGGAGCTCGGGGTGTCTTTTTGGATCTGGCCCTACAGGCACAGTCTGTACATGTACGGCACCAGAGGGCCACGTCTTCTCTCATGTGATACCAGTAGAATCGGCTTTGAAGTCTGGCCACAGTGCGCTCAACACCGAAATGTCTGCCAACCGGCCCCTCGTGCATCTGGCGCATAACATTGGGCTACAGTTTGCGTGGCAGGACTATTTGGGGATACAACTGGGTGTCGTCCAGACAGTAAAAACGTCTGACCAGTACTCCGTCTTTGAAATAAAGTCTCTTCCATTGACTCCAATATGTTTTGGTGGCTGGGCTGCACGGGGACACAATGGAATATGGAGGGCGTTCAGCACTGGCTTCCAACCAAGCTCTGATTGGGGCAATAGGGCTGGAAAGTCTCGTCCCAGAAGCACTTCCGGTTCATTTGCTCGGATACAAGCAAACCGTCAGCTGTTCGAAGAGGCGGTTTAAGTGAATGGTGCAAAATGCTCTGCTTTGTTTTCGGCTGTTATCATCAAAGTTTACATGAAGCATGCTCATTTTTTAGGTTTCCCAAAGACCAACTGAAGCTGTGTATAAAGCTATGCAGTTGTGATAAAACATTTTGTCTGATTTTACAGATGGTTAACTTGGATATGTATTCAAGCTAACTTGTAGCTAATGCTAACCTGTAGTGCGCTGCCGAGCCTTTCATTGTGGCTTGTATTTTAAGAGAAGATTAACTTTATTGTTGTCACCGAGGATAAATGTATTTATTTATTTGAGAGATAAAGGAGGAACATATTAGCACATATTAAATAACATTTAACAAATGTTCAAATATAACAGAAAACGGACAATCATAATATTAGTAGCAAATGAATAGGTAACTCAACTACATCGTGTAATTTTTGACAGCACAGCAAAAAGAAAAAAGGCCCAAATGTGAAGCTGCAGTGTGTGTGAAGTGGAGATGGAGCTAATGTACAGATAGGAAACATATCATTCATAAACATTGGCTCATAACCAATGCAGCAAAGATAGCTGTAAGGGACATCAATGTATTTGCATGGGAATAGTGTTTCTATATTGTCTTTCTGATGCATAATAGTGGATTAAAAAACAATAAGTTTGAGCACGGCCCTGCACCTTTCTCATCTCCCCGTCATAGAAACTTCAGGACATGGTCAGTTCACAGCTCATTCCGACCGCTCACTCAGTTTTTCTGTCCCAGAGACGAAATGTGTCCAAAATAACACAGGAAAGTCCTTTAAGGAGGAAGAAGTTGGCGATCTCAGCACCATACAAGTGGCACGTGTGGTTTGTTTGTATCCGCGGGTGGAAATCTCGCAAAATCTCGCACTTCCGCTTTCCAGCCCTATATCTGAATCTGCACCCCGGGCATCACGCAGTTCCTCCATGGTCCAACCCCGAAACAATGTGATCTTGTTTGTATTTGTCACATAGATTGTCTCTGTGTTGCTCTCTGTGTCTTTACTTACCCCCACCGGACTCAAAGCTGTTTCAGTCACGGGGTGTGTCTCTACCCCCACCGGACTCTGCAACAGGGATCTGGAAGCAGAGTCCATCTCACACTGGATCGCTTGATGACATGTGGTTTTAGGCTGGGAGGAGGGATCCTGCAATTTACAGGGGCAAGACTCACGACAGGGTCTGCGGGAGAGACTGTCAGCATTAGTGTGTAAGCGACCTGGACGATGAATGATTTCAAAGTCATATTCCGGCAGCTTTTCCAACCACCGTGCTAGCTGACCTTCTGGTCAGGCTAAAACACGCTCCGCGCCATCCTGCATTTGTGACAGGACCGCGCCGATTCCTGTATCACTGGCATCTGTGTCGAGGACCATCTCGCCCTGGTCTAGCGGGTAACCCAAGACCGGAGCAGTGGTCAACAGCCGCTTAAGTGTGTCGAAAGCAGCTTGGTGCTCGGGATGCCACTGCAAGCGTGCGTTTTCACAAACCAACCGTAGTAGGAGGCGAGGCCAATGAAACGCCTTACATCTTGGACAGAAGTGGGAGCAGGCCATGCCTGGACTTTGTAGACCTTGTTTGGATCAGTGGCCACACCGTGTTCAGACACAGCGTGACCCAAATAGGTGACCTGGCGGTGGAAGAGGCTGCATTTGGAGGGTTTTAATTTTAGATTTGCTTGTTGGAGTCTCTGGAACACCTGGCCTAGCCGCTGCAGCATCTCTGAAACGTCCCTGGCCAGCACGATTATGTCGTTGAGGTAAACCAGACAGGTCTCCCACTGCATACCAGCCAGGATGCGGTCCATTAAATGCTGGAACGTGGCTGGTGCGTTGCACAGGCCGAATGGCATGACGTTCCATTCAAACAGGCCATTTCGTGTGCAAAAGGCAGCTGCGCGGCGGGCTCTGGGTGTGAGCTCCACTTGCCAATAGCCTGCGGCAAGGTCCAATGTGCTGAACCACTTAGCAGAGGAAAGTGTGTCCAACGTGTCTTGGATCCGGGGCAGTGGGTATGCATCGGTGATGGTGCGGTCGTTGAGTGCCCTGCAATCAATGCACAGTCGGTAAATTCCATCTTTCTTACGCACCATAACGATGGGTGATGCCCAGCTGCTGTGGCTGCGTGAGGCGAGGCCGGTCTTGAGGGTGTCACCGATCTGCCGGTCTGCATCCTGCTGCTTTTCCACAGCCAGCCGGCGTGGGGGCTGCTTGACTGGAGCACCAGGCCGGGTGAGGATGTCATGCTGGACGAGGCTGGTCCGGCCCAGATCACCGGGTCCCCTGGAGAATACACTTTCATATGCACACAACAGGTTGGTTAATTCGACTTTTTCAGTGTCAATAAGGTCAACGGAACTCTGGGCATAGAGCTCTTGGAGGTGCTCTGGAACAGATGGGGAACTGGTCAGAGACTTTGTGGGGTCTTTGGATGAGGGAACAGTCTCTGCTGGCTGAAGGAGACCAGCAATGGCGCCTTCTTTAACAGTCACAGGTTTATTGCCCGGGTTGAAGAGGCACAGTGGAATCACTTTGGTGTGATGAGCATGGACGAGGACTCTAGCGATGAGCACTTTGTGTTTCTCAACAAAACCTTTTGTAGGGTTCAGCATCATGTCTCCTTACAGCTTCATCAAGGTGCACAGTGCCTTTGACCAAATACTCCTGTCCGGGCTCCATCACAAGAGATCTGGCTATTCTATGCTTATTGTTGCTTTTTTTTATTTTTATTCCTCCTCCGTCGAGCAAAGACGTGTCTCAGACCGCTCCTGGTTCTGACTGCTTGCTATCTCCTGTTTTTGTCTTTTTCCTGGAGTTTTGCCACAGACAACTTTAACAAGAATGGAAATGATTAACTGGTCCCTCAACGCAATTGATTCTATCTTTTCAACACGTAAGCGTGGGTCTGGAGAGCCCGTGTGCCCGGACGGGACTTCACCGGCGGGGTATACTCTTGACAGCTGGAACAAGTTTCAGCCCCTCTGTCTGTCGACCCTGTCTATTGAAGATTCGGAAGACGTATATATCTTTGGCATTTTGGTGGTGGGGATCCTCCTGTTTGGGTTTGGAGCGGTTCTCTTCTATCGCAAATTCGGAAGCATGGCAGTTCGTAAGATTCACGACCTGCTGGCCGACAAAATTGATGGGATGTACAAGGAGCTTAGCCGAGTCATGGTTGAGAGTGCCGTGTCTGGACAAAGGAGAGTGGTTTTGGTGGAACAGTTGATAAAAGACCTCGCAGCTCGTTCACTCGAAGGGAATAAAACTTTGGAGTTGAGATTGAATGACATCGTGTGTCAGGCTTGAACTCTCTGACCCGACATGGATTTGCCCCTGTGTACGGAGGTCTGAGGGCGCCGCAATTCGGATTAATTGGATTTAATAGAATATCTGCCTGCTTTTGACTGCTACATTGCATACAATATTGTCCCCCTCAGGCGATGTGTTTTTCTCCTGCTGTGTCTTCTCTCCACTCTTATCTCACATTCCTCGGCCAAGGCCATAATAACAAGGTCCCACAATCTACAACAACTCACACTATTTCAGTCCAGCAAGGATCCCGTTCCCCCGCCTCCCTCTACCTATCCATCTTGCTCCCTCCCTCCCCTCCACTCCTCATTGTGTTTCCGACTCACCCCCTCCCTGACCCCGCCCCCCTCTGACAGCCACATTGGGCCGGCAGTCGGAGGTGCTCATCCCGAGAAAAAAATCTGTGGTTTATACAAAGCACAATGTGTCTATCCAAACTGTCTGTGAAACTGTATGTTATTGCTCTCTGCTGTTTATTCTACTGTTTGTCGCATGGCGCCGTAAAGATGGCGCCGTGGCAAGAGCTCTGGTGTGTGTCGTCTTCTCTGTCTGGTGCACACCGGGGTAGTCTTGCACAGTTTTTCCTATGTGGTTTTACTGCAAATGGCAAATAAATGAATCTGAATCTGAAACTTCTCACAGCATGCGATCTGGACACAGTCTCTAGGTGGAAATAGGGCACTTCTTCACCGAAAATCACAATGCGGTGCTTACCAAAATCAAGACGGGCTTCCGCTTGCGTGAGAAATGGGTGACCAAGCAGTACATCCTTCCCTGCAATGTCCGCTACCAGGAAGTCAACTTCAACTTGACGGTTATGAACATTGACTGGAACTTTGGTTTCACCCAGCACCGGAACATTACCAGGTCCCACTCCAATCAAAGTCTCTACTGTAGATGGGCTCAGAGGGGGCCTCATGTCTCTGTGAATGGCATTGTAATGGCATGAAGGCAGCACGCTTCTACGAGCCCCAGTGTCCAAAACAGCACACACCTCCAGCTCGAATATGCGTAAATGGATGCTCATTTAACGATTATTGGTTTTGAGATGTGTTATGGTGGGTTGTGAGCTTTCACGGGGAGTGCTAGGTGCGGGTGGTCTAGCAGTCCTGGCTGTTCTGTGGGGGGAGGAGCACTGATTGCGTATGTGTCCCCAGCCATTGCAATTATGACAGCGGACGTCGGTCTTCTTAAAGTTTTTATGCTGGTTTTGTGTCTTTAAAGGTGTGGTTGGAACATACCAGTTTGGCGCAGGGTCTGGCGGTGGTGTAGCAGGAGCAGCCTCAGTCTCCCGTACGACAGCGGTGCAGGGTCTACGCTTGTTCAGGTTGCGGGCCCCAGGCTGCATGATGCTTGTGACGTATGATGCAGCTCTCTTCGTTGTTTCATGGCGATGAGCTATTTCATAAGCTCTCGCCAGTGTGGATGGGCGGGTTTCCAGCAGTTTTTGAATAATATCGGCATCGCCCAAACCATTTGTGAAAACTTCAACAGCGACAGCATCCTGCTCCCTCTCGGATCTGTCACCATAAGCCACAGCCACTTTTCTATAAATATCGTCCCGGAAAACATGCAACGCCTCACCAGCTTGGCGTATTCTCTGCCTCAGTTCCACTGCAACCGCTGCCGCATGATCGGAGGAAGGGCTGTACGCGCTCTCCAGCTCCTGTAGTAGCCGCTGGTATTCCCATTTCGATGAGCGTGGATTCCGGTGAGCAATGGCCCCTGCAGCTCCAACCAAGCAGAATTTCAACTGAACCGCCATTGTTTTTGCTGACCAGAGATTCAGCGCAGCTTTCAAATCTGTGCATGAACTCTCTCCATGGTGCACTTCCATCATACTGCCCAGGGAGTAGAGTGGGGACCCTCTCTTTAAAGTCACAATCGTCATCGTTCTCTGAAGGAGAGGTCCTCCGGGACCCGAAGTGGCTTTTATGTGGGGATGAGTGATCTGGTTGGGGCTGTATGGGATTTTGATGTCACAGTCCTTGGTGGATTAATATATGGACTCTGGAAGGGGAGGGTACATTCAGCTGGATTGTAAGGAGCTGGCATGTGCAAAACCTCCCGTGTGATCTGTGGCAAATGGATTTGTCACATAAACACTTGAACGCGGTTCCGGGCAATGACCATGACTTGTAGCTCCAACAAAAGGGTTTGTGTGGGAAAACTGCGCGCGAGCAGACAGCGGGGCGAACAAATCTTCTCCCTCCATAGACCGTGAGCCAGTATAGACACTATCACCGCAGCTCTCGACACATAAAAAGAGGTTATAATCATCGCACTTCACTCCATTCCGGTTTGCATCTACAGCCACAGCACTTTGTACATTGTCCACAAGATTGAGTAGTGGGTTTCATCTCCGTAAACGTTTCGGGGATAGCGAGCAGCCGCCATTTTAGGTTAGCTTCACTTCGGCGCTATAACCACGTTGTTACGAAGCTCATCTTTTTTTTTCGTCCTTTATATTATTTCTGCTCACCACTTTCAACAGTTGAGGGTCCCTTTGTGGTTGCCAGTGTTACGCCTTTCCTGTAATAAGTCCCAAGACTGAGGTCGAGGGGCGCAGGGGAGGTTTGCTGCTCCAGGGCCGAAGGGGTGCGTTCCTCCGGGGCGTAATTCCCTTCTTGTTTGACCCTCTCTGTTAAAGTGTGGTGCGGATATAGGGACACGGACTGTTGCTCAAGAGTGGGCTTTATTATCTCTCCCAAAAACAACATGCCAAAAACTACGCTCCCTTTCTTGCTCCGGTCGCACTCTCGCTCTTTCCTAGCTCTCACTCTGTCTCTGTCTACCGGCGCGCTCCCGTCACCTCTGCGCGCTCCCACACACACACACACACACACATACACTCATTACCCACAAAGCTACTGCACTTGTGAGATAGGAAGATCTCACAACACATATGGCTAGCAAGGTAAGACTCAGGGAAGGCTAAACTCCTCAGACTGTCAGTCAAGCTGCATAGGGAGTCAGTGTGCTGGGAGAAGTATGGTAACTTGAGCACTATCCTCTCCTCCTTCCTACTTTATCTGTTTAGCATTATTAGGATTTTGACTGTAGTTTGTTCATTGCTATTCACCCGTTGTCCTATTGTCTGTTTCATGGTACGATGATGGGATCTCTGAGCCTGGCCTCCTCCATCTACACCTGCGGACTGCCCCGCCCGACCCGCCTGGGAGTGCTTCAGTCCTGCACCGGACCTGTCCACGTTCAGCGGCCTCTGGTCCATGTTCTGTAGCTAGCTTAGGTCCTAGATCATTAGCCTGTCCGTCCGGAGGAGCGCATCCCTTTCTCAAATGGGTCTCCCTCCCCATGGGTTTCCCTAGTTCTCCCCAAGGTTTCTCACTTTTTCCCACTGGGTTTTTTAAGAGTTTTTCCTTGTCGATGCAGGAGGGTCTTGTTGGACAGTTAGTGTCCAACAGAAAGGATTGGTGAGGATCAGGACACTTTAGCATTCAATAACATGTATGGACATTTTATATTTTTCATGTGTTTTAACTGTTGATTCTCTGACCTGTGTTGGTGATCAATCAATCAATCAATCAATCCTTTATTATCTCACACAGATGGAGAAATTCAGATTTCAATGGTTTTGTTAAGTCCTCTGAGATGACTTCTGTTGTGACCTATACAAGGGCTTTACAAGATTAAATTGTATTGTAATTGTATTGTATTAATCGGCTTTTGAAAAAATCGAATTTGTGAAAAATGTGAAAATCGTGAAATCGAATGAAGGATATTGTGAGAGCAGCACATGAATTATACTTTCAATATCAGCACAGTCTGTACAACACTTTTGTATTACATATGGGCTCTATGCACGCACCACTTCCGCGTTTTAGCTAAAGCCCCACTTTACTTCCTGTTCGCGGGAAACAGCTTGAGTTTCACTGGAGTTCAGCAGTGGTTTACAGGAGTTTCCCAAATAATGCTCAAAAGGGAATTAAACTGTGAGGATACTGGGCATTTTTGGGACACAACAGTGCTCTTTGATTGTGCTGTCATTGTGTTTTTATAAAGTTTAAAAATCGCTCTGAGTGGCCACAGTCAAAGCTCTACCTCAGAGAGAAAGCACAGTGAAACTTTTGGGTCAGTTTCACAGCTGAATGTATCAATCTAATTACGCTAAAACGTCACTAAAACTCACCTAAATGCCATAGGATAGCATAGGCAGGAAGTGAACGGGCTGATCTGCGTTAACAGGAAATGACGTCACGCCTCCCCGTGCATATAGCCCATTGGGGGAAACAAATTAAAAATTGTTTTGAAACTTGAATATTGAGCGGAAAGATCAAAAAGTATTTTTAAGGGTAAAGTTTGTTTTTGGTGACTTTAATGAAAATAGATTTAAAATCGAAATCGTCTAAAGCATTAAATAAAATCGAGATTTTACTTTTTTGCCATATCGCCCAGCCCTGCCCCAATGTCGTTTTAGCAAGAAAGCGCCATGTATCACCGCATAAAGTACGGTATGCTAGCCGCGTATACTTAACATTATCACAAAATTATAATGAAATAAAATCGGGACTCACAATATCATCAACAGTTAAATGGAATGATATTTTTCAGAGTAACCCAAAACCAATTTAATCTTCAAAAACTAGCTTTTGGCGTACTGAAATTTGCTAGCTACACAATTCGCTTTAGCTACACGCTAAACAATTGTTAATCAACGTTGTAAATTCTAGCAATGTTTAAAGTAATGTTGCAGATGCACAGTTAACTTTAAAAAACAAGTAATTAGGTATACTCACCGAGAGACGACAAACTGTCACGTTGAGTAAAATGGCTGATGTCTCCAAATCCTCACTTGTCCGCTCTAAAGAGGCGGGGCCTCTCAGCTTTAACTCACCTGGTGTTACCATGGCTCATAGAGTTCAGAGTGAAAAATACGGAGTTACATTAACCATCTTTAACTTGGCAACACTTAATGGTTTTACTCCCAAATTTAACCTCAAATCAAAGACTCATTTGAGTGAAATTCAGTGGATAATAACTCATTTAGATTAAAGTTAACTCTGTATCGCTAGAACAAACAGCAACACTCAGATTTCAACACTTTGGAATTTGCTGTGATATCATTCAGCTATAATTATACTGTAATACCTGCTTTGTCTCAGCAATAAATCCACTCCCAGCACGTTTTGAAGCTTTCCGGTTCCTAAATTAGTTCACAATTTTCAATTATCCCTATCTCAAGACAACAGCTCATTACATGTTGATCCAAAAACCAGCAATTGGCTAAAACAGCCAGTCTTTTACTGCAGTCTTTTTTACTTTTTCTGTGTGATGGGGGCATATTTTGGCTTTTAGGTGGCTGCAGAAAGGCTTTAATGTAGTTTTGATGGTGTTATTTGCCACGGTGGAGGGCGGGCTGTTGTGTTTATGGTCAGGCATAAAGAAAAAGGTCAAGGTTCAGAGCGGTACTAACAAAAGGTAAATGGGGTAATAATGTCCTTATTAGAAAGGGTGCAATAATCCATCACTCAGTTGCCTTGTATTAAGTTTGATCCACTTCTCAAAAATTCTTTTGAAAAAGCACAAACTTCTTTTCTTTGGAACCACTCAAAAACCTGGCCCAGGTTACAAAATCCATCGATTCTTGCTCTCAAAACAGTTTTCACATATAATATATATTTTTTTAAGCGACGGGACTACATCACTCAGCCAATCAGCTCTTAGCCCTAAGCGTCAACTAGTGACTCACAGGGCTCATTCTCACAAGTAATCTAATCAGCATCTAATTAGAGAATAAATATTTGCATAAATATTGTACCCTCTTTGCCTTAATATACACATTCCTTTTGCCAATCTCCCAAACATACTGTGCTTTTGACTGATCTGCCTCCAGTTATGTGTCCATGTTGTTGCTGAAGGACAGCGTTGCATCTTTGTCCTGAAATAACTCTTTTCAATTCCATATTTTTTCACAATTTTTTAGCTCAAACTTCAAACCGGGCGTCGAAATCCGGGAGGACGCAAGCTAACATTGACATGGCCTTGTTCCAGAAAGTAGTGTTTTATGTGGTCCGCGGAGGGAAAAACATGGGACTATTTTTAACTATCGACGCAGAGCCAGGTGAGTCTGCTGCAAAATGCACAGGGAAATCATACAGTCGTGGTTATGCAGAGAGCTGACTGATGTTTGTTTACTACACTTGACAAAAGTGAAATAAATTATAAAATGAATTTGGTCTGTATACTCTAGGACCATATACAAGCAATGAGTCATTCCACTTTGCCTTAAAGTTGGGGTACCTTTTATAAATTCATAAATAATATAATGTAAGTCCCTGTCCTGTGGAAGACCTCCTATGTGATCCCGGTTGACTTCAGGAGAAAACCACTTTCCCACACGCTGCTGAACATCCAGGGGAAGGAAATCGAGCTGGTGGACAGCTTCAAGTACCTGGGTGTTCACATTAACAATAAACTGGACTGGTCCCATAACACTAACGCCCTGCCCTGTACAAGAAGGGCCAAAGTCGCCTCTTCCTTCTGAGAAGGCTGCGGTCCTTCGGAGTGAGCAAGCCTCTGCTCAGGACTTTTTTTTTTTTTCTTTTCAATCTTTTTATTGAAGTTACACAGCAATGAACACATTACAAAATTACAAAGTTCTTGTAACTGTTTTTTTCTTTTTCTTTTTTAAACAAATAACCCCCAAAAAACACCCATTACAATCACACATTGAGACAAACATGGATGTTGTACTAACTAATACAATCTAAACAGTCATGGATTCTATACAAAGTAAGTAAATAA